AATCATCTTCAGCTGCTTTATGAAGAACCTTCTCTCCATCATAAAGTCAGAAATGGGGATGTTTGCCAATAGTGTTCGGCACCATTCATGAATCCTCAGCTACTGAAACAGTCCATGTTTAAGTGCAGAAGACCTGGACAATGTCCAGGATTGGGCTGAAAAGTGGCAAGGAATATTCCCACCACACACAGGCCAGACATTTCTCAGGGAAGTGTCCTAGACCCAATCATCTGCTTCAGATGATTTTCTCTTCATAACGTCCGAAGAGGGAATGTTCATTGATTGCACAATTCGCAACTCCTCAAATGCCAAGGCAGTCCATGTTCAAATTCAGCAGCCCTGGACAATATCTAGGCTTGGGCTGACAAATAGCAAGTAACATTTGTGCCACACAAATACCACGCAATAGGAGACAATCTAACCATCACCCTTTGACATTCAATGGCATTACCATCACTGAATTCCCCCACTATCAACATCCTAAGGATTACCATTGATCAGAAATTCAACTAGACCAGCCATGTAAATAATGTGGCTACAAGAGCGGGTCAGAGGTGAGGAATACTGCAGCAAGTAACTCCTCTCCTGACACCTCCGAAGCCTGTCCACTATCTACAAGGCACAAGTCAGGAGTGTGATGGAGTACTCCCCATTTACCTGGATGAGTGCTGCTCCAATACCATTCGGGAAGCTTGACACCATCCAGTACAAATTAGCCTGCTTGATTGCTTGCGAATGTGTTGCCATTCACTCCCTCCACCACCAATGCTCAGTAACATCAATGTATATTATCTACAAGATGCACAGCAGTATCTTACTAAAGGTTGTAGACAGCACTTTCCAAACCCACAACCACTTCCATCTAGAAGGACAAGGGTAGCAGATACATGGGAGCACTACCACTTGCAAGTTCTCCTCCAAGCGACTCACCATCCTGACTTTGAAATGTTTTTGCCATTCCTTCAGTGTAGCTGGGTCAAAATCCTAGAATTCTCTGCCTAAAGGCATTGTGGATGCACTAACAGCACATTCACTGCAGCAATTCACAAAGGCAGCTCAGCACCTTCTTAAGGGCAACTAAGGACGGGCAATAAAATGCTGGCCAACCAGCAATGCCCACATCTCACGTGTGAGTGAATTTAAGAAAAAAAAACTTTTCCTTTGAGCAAACATTCACAATACTCCAATCCTCTGGCACCACCCTGCATCTCATGAGGTTTAGAAGATTACGCCCAGTGCCTCTTCAATGTCCATGATCACTTTCTTATTACTCTTGGGTACATCTCATCCAATCCTGGTGCCTCATCAACTTTATGTACAGATAGCCTATCCGACATCATATCAAATTTCAAACTCATTAAATTATCCTCTTTCACCATGACTTGGGCAGCAGCAGCAACATCTTTGGTAAAGACTGGTGCTCACTCAGGACTTCAGTTTTACCCCCTTCCTTGATGTGTAAATACCTATTTTGGATTTATTTTGGTTAGTTATCAGTCCCTTCTCATACTCAATTTTTACTTCCCCTCTGAATCCTTTGCGTTGAGCTTGATTATATAGGCCGCCTGTTAACTGAAATATTGGCTCCCAAGATTAGTCTTGAATTTATCCCTTTCACTTGCCTTGTGTTTGTTTTATTGCTTTGGACAAGGTCTAATAGTTGACATTATGAAAACATTATGATAATACAAAAACCAGCACTTATCAATAATCTCTCTTTGAGAACATGTCCAGTTTAAATGATGGCTTGGGATAACTGTGCCCTCAATTTAGTCCCTGCAGTCAATTTAATCCGTGTAGGGAAGATTTTAGTCTTAACTGGGCCCATAAAAAAACAAGCAAAGAGATAAAGATTGGGAAGTCTC